ATTACTACATTATTCATGCGATCACATATTAATTACTAATCGCTATTAATTGCTACATTGTTCATGCGATACTAATCGCATCTATTACTACATTGTTTATGCAATTCTATTTTTAGACATCGGGGATCATGCATATACCCGATTACAATATTCGATCACGTACCCGATCACCAGTCACATGGGTACCGCTACAAGTACATGGGCATTAAGAAACACCGTGACACTTTGACAGGAGATCTTTATCGAGTTTGTTTAACGATTACTCTTGCTATAACCAATCAAAAAAAAAGAAATCAATTCAAGAATAGAATTGGAACACATTAATATACCACTTTTTGCACACAACAATATGTTGTATGTGAATCTTAGAGATCAAGTTTCAAACTTCGCTCTTAAAAAAATAAATGAGCAGCATCAGAAAATTATTTCACAAAACCCATTGCCACCATGTACTGGAACTTTCTCAAGAACAATGAGCCTGCCAAGACCCCAAAATATATATATATAGGTAAGGTAACTTTAAAATTTTTTATTAATTGCTGTACGCAAGACTTTTTTATAAGATGAATACACAAACTTTATAACTTACTTTAAAAAATTAAAAAAAATACGCAAAATAAAATCTAAGCTTATTTATAAAATAAAATTTAATATAAATTAAAATAATATAAATAATAATAAAATAAAAATTACACTAAATCAAAATTTGAATTTTTTATATTATAGTATATAGTAGTTAATAATTTATAAAGTTGTTAGCTAAATTTTTATAATTCGAACAAAACTAATTTATCTTTAATAATTATTAAATTTTTTTAAAAAATACTAATTTTTAAACTTTAACTAATAGCTGGTTAATATTTTTTTTATATTTTATATAGTCTATTTTATTCAAATTATCTAATTTTAAAATTTTATTTATAAAATAAAATTTTAAATATTATATTGTAAATATAATTATATTATATTCATATTATACTATATTAAATTTGTTTAACAATTATTTTAATTATTTCTTTTTGATTAAAATAATTAAAATATTGGTTTTCTTTTTCTACTAACCTTAAAATATTATTTTCAATTAATACACCAGTTGCTCCAATATGATAAATAATATTGGAAGCTAAATGATATGTTAAAATATTATATCCTTTCATTGTTGTATCACTAAACAAATCTCGATAAATTAGTATATAAACTTGTAAAGATATATAAGATATATCATTTAAATTTGTTATTGCTTCATCAATATAACAATGCCGGTTATAAGCTTCAAAATAAACTGCAATAACTTTTTCTACGCATAATTGATTTCTATAAATTACAAAAATATAATTATCTTTAACTAATGGAAAGTCTTCTGAAATATTTGCACTTTTAATATTTGGAACTTTAATAATAAATAAAATAGTTAATATAAACTTATAATAAATATAAATATTATTAAAAAAAAATTTAATATTAAAGTTTTAATTATATTTATTTTAAATATAATTAATATAGTTAAAAGTTTGATTTTAAATTTTTTTTAATAATATATTACTTATATATAATTAACAAAAATACATACTTTGAATAAAAGATTTTTGCTTTTTAACTAATTTGTATTTATTTGTTTGTACTAATTCTTTAGTATGAATTTGAGCTAAAGTATTAGACATATTTTTACGATTTTCTTTTCATTGTTTTTCATGTTGTTTAACTGAACTTTGTTCGGAATTTTCATCTTTAGAAAAATATGCAACACTATGGCTAGCCTTATTTGGATGAATTGTCATTGTAGTATTAAATTTTGTTGAAACTGATTTAAATATTAAACTTTCGCTCTAGTGATCTTGAAGTATAGACTTCATGTTTTTGTCATTGTTATAATAAAAGTTCAAAATCCAAATTATTTTCTAATTCATATTTAAAAATTATTAAATATAAAATATAATTATAATAAAAATATTTACAATATTATTAAAATTAACTTATCGCTATCACTATTATATAAGCTAAAAAGGTCTTCAACAGAGCGATTAACTACGTTT